TGTACGCCATCTCTCTGCTGACTGTCAGGTAAGCGTTCAACAAGGGCCAAGAGTGTAAAAAGGGGAGGGAGGGGGCAGGGCCCTTTTCACATCTTAGCAAAGAACACTGTTCTCTTTGGTAAAGACATGCCAGATGCTTGGGGACCTTATTAGCGTATCCTTCAACCAGTCGGCAGCAGTGCAATGACCGTGTCAAAGACAGAAAGCAGAAAAGAAGGACATTTCCCTGTAAACCCGCTCGGTACACTTCTAAAGAGTGTTTCGACTTCTTAATGAAGCACCAATGACATCTGAGCCTGCAAAACGGACATTGCTGAAGTCAAATCACGCAGCAATGCCCTGAAAATAACCAGATTATGAGCTGAATTTAGTAATTAGGCCAAAAATCAAACTATTAGCATGAAATAAGAAGAATCTGGTCTCTGTTATGCATATAAAGTTTCTTTCTGGGTTACAAATTAATACATGTCTCCTCTATTATTTTGACAGCGAGCAGCTCAAGACATAATCAACTTTTCCAACTCTGCCCGAATGATTGATCTCTTTCTCTTAGCAAAAACAGCTTGGAATTTGGTCAAGAATCAGTTAAGTTTCAGTCACAACGTTTCGCTTCAGTTTAGAAAAACTGAGTCATGAAAGGACAGGAAAATCTTGTTTGTCCTTTTTAAAATTCCCCTGCTCAAGCTAATATGTTGCTGTGGTAACCAACATTGTAACGGGCAGCTTTAGGGAGACACTGTGACCTTAAAGGAAGGTATGTAAACACCACTATATTCTCTGGCTGGGCCTGCCTAGAAAGAAGGCCTGGGAAAAATGTCTGCATGTGCAGGAGATTTGAAATAAATATCCAGGCCCCCATTGTGGAGCTCCAACAAAGGGGAGTATCTTAGTAACACCAAACAGGGTTTGCTCGGCGAGACATTTTCTCTCCCCCCCACGCCTCCCCCTCCTCCACAATAAACACACTTCTCATCATCGGCGGGTTAGGGCTTAGGATGAGATTGATGAGGAGTTTCTTTAACTACCAGATGAAACCTGTTGGCCCTTCGCTGGGGCAGTCATGGGGTCAAACTCGTTCCAACTCGCTTCAGGATCAAAAAGATTTCAATACTGGCCAGGACTAAAAAAGCCATTCAACCCATAGCGCCCCTTCAGTTGTTAGTATCATTCTAAACTAAGAAAAGAAAAATCAATTAACAGCCTTAACCAAGGCAAAAATAGATACTTCTCACTTGGATACTAAAAATGATTTAGGTTGTCTTTATCCAGACATTTATCGTAACATTCATCTTATAGTTCCACATAAAAACAGCTTTAAACTACCAAGAGTTCCCTTTGGTTGATTGAAGTCGCATAGATGGTTGAAGAAGACATCTTCACAGTCTTTTGGAAGATGTGCAGATTGTTTCAGTGGGTTATCATTACCACAATACCATCTAATAATAATAATAATAATAAAGGGATGACTAATAAACCAAATCTGTGAGACTCACAAGTTGAGCTACTTAAACTCTAATAAGCAATAGTAACAGCTAACACCACAATAACCCCTGGCGCCAAAAGTAATACAGGTCTTTAGCAAAAATCTGAGAACACGGCCATAAAGCGGGAGACATTTTACAGCAGCAACTAAAAGCTAGATAATAACTTCTGACATCACAACCCTTGGTCCCCCCCTGATTCATCCACAATTTGGACAATTTGTTAAACTGTTAATCATTCAGGGTGACAGAGCCCCTAAAGAGTTGTGCATTAAAAAAAACCCACACATTAAAAAAGAAAAAACATCCACATTTCCATCCTTATGCCATTGGCGTCTTTTAGTACATCGTCAAAAGTAAACACAGCCACATGAAAAGGCTGACTTATAGCGTCAGCGGTAAGGTTCATCATTCCCTTCATTTCCGCAGTCAAAGAGACCTTGCAGGGCTACAACATAAGCCCAGGAGGTTAAAATGCCACATAAAACCTTATTACATTTCGGTTTAATGCTATTATTGGATGAAAGGATAATATCACATTCTAAAAACCTAGATGTGTGTTTTACGTTCTTCTTGCTTGCGGAGACATTATTTCCTTTACAGGCAGCTCAGATTTTTTTTTTTTTTGAGGAAGCCCAAGTGTCAACCCCCCCCCCGCCCAGACACAATATATATCTAAAAGTGAAGCACAACACTGAACAGTGCTTCCTCTGAACAGATTTATGGAAGTGACGCTCAAGTCATGTTTGTTTAAAATTAATAGATCCTTGTGCCTAAACTGTTTTCTAAACCACAAACTTGAACATACTTTACTAGCCGTCGTATTTGTGATCTGGATGGGAAACTTTCCATTGTTTTTAAGCTGTTTTGGGGTTTTGGTTTAGTCTTTGTATTCAAACCAGACTATGCACACCTAAAGACTAAAGATTTCACTTACCAGGCTTGCTAAATTGCTTCTGCAAATAGCCATTTCTTAGTACTGTAACTAGATTCCAAATTGAATCAAGCTCCAGACTTTGACTGGACCATTTTCCTGCAGGAAGGTGAGCTCTACCCAGCTTCTCCTTTGTTCCCAAAATTGTATCCCTACAAACTGACCCTTACCACCACATGTTTTTTGTTTAGTATTCTGTGCTCAGGGTACTAGTTTCTTTCTGCTTGTTGTCGACACGTCTGGGCAGAACTTTTTTCCCTCATGTCTAAATGCGATTGGATTTGCTAAGTAGGAAAAGTGGAGATGATTACCCCCTTTTTTAGGTGGAAATTCCCCTCTTATTTAAGGTTAAGATATGTAGACATTGCTGTACATTGATAATGATTAGTTTTCCGATTGGTTTGTGTTGAGAAAATGTACAAACAAAACGCGACCATTTGTATAATATGACTTCTTGCTCCCTTTCTCCTGGTGGATCTGAAAAATGCTCCATTTAGCAAAGTGTAGCTGTTGTGTTTTCTTTTGCAGGTGTGACGTTAGCAACATTAAACTGGAAGTTTCTTGGTTCTTGCTAAATTTTGTGGCAAGCTTAAAGGTTTATAGTCAGATTATGTGCCTATACAAAACAGATCGAAAAAGTATTAGATCAGGATAAAATAACCGTATATGCAGCAAGCATCCATTCTTATATAGTCTTTTTTTAGCCTAAATAGAATTCCAGCACCGAGCACAATGAGCGGACATAAACAGATGAGGTGCAATCTACAGACAGTAGTGCAGACCTATCAGAGAGCCCGATGGAGACTAAATAAAGCCTGTAATGCCTAGCTGTGACGCGACAGCTCAAAATGGAAGAAGAATAACAGATATTGATTAGATTAAACAATCTACAGCAACTCCAACTTCTTAATCCTCCTCAGAGCCTCCTATTAGATCAAGGAAAAAGGAACTTCTGTTCCTAACAAACACAAACAGGTACACATCATCAAGGTAACATCAAATCAATCCATCCTTTTATGATGTCATTTGAATTTGGACTGTAGAGACTAAGAATATCATTGCATCATTGTATCATGGCATCTTATGAGGAGAGGGCGAAAAAAAACTTTCTTCCACTTTTTTCAAGTGCCTCTAGTAGCATAAGCTACTAGATAAGCCGCTTCTTCCTTGGTATGTCTCTTAAGGGGGACGCAGTGTCTTATTGAGTTTGCATGTGAGCCATACTATTGTGAGCTTCAGACGATGCATTGAGACGCTCGAAGCTTTGAAAGCTGTTCACTAACCTAATCCTGCTGTTAAATTTTCCACAACTTTATCCCTGACATGTCATATATGTACCCTGGTCTTCATGACATTTTGTCTTCACTGAACTATATTGACAATGAGAGTTTGGGAAAAAAAAAAGCTGATACCACACTTTTCCCTGGATTCTGTTGGTGAAGTTTAAAAAAATTGGTAACGTTTTTGATTGATTGTTTAAGCTCCAATATGCATTTTTTTTAACGGCACTAGTGGATCGTTTTTCTGACAGTAGGCTGACAGGAAAGGGGGTATAAGAGAGGGGAGGAGACATGCGGCAAAGGACCACAGGCCAGATTCGAACCCAGGTCGGCCGTGTCAAGAACTGAGGCCTCCGTTTATGGGTCGTGCGCGTTAACCAAAGCTCACATGCAAGCCCCATGCATTTTTATAAAATATGAATCAACTTTTTCTCCGTTTCAAAAACAAATAAAACTTGCTTTAAAAAAATAAAAAAATAAGAGAGACGTGTTCTTTTGCAAAAAGGAATCAAATTGAAACAATTAGCGGGGTTCCTGTACCCTACAGTATGGACAGATTTTTATGTGCATTGGCCAGAAGGAACATAAACCAGAGAGGTTTCAAACTGTGACACAGGATGAGGCATATTAAAGGTAAATCTTTCCCTTTCCTTTCTGCAAGGCTCTATTGTCCTGTCATGTTGCTTCCACTTTATGGGCTTCTGGGACACGAGCACCAAGCCCTTTTTTTTCTCCTTATGGTAAGGTTTGTGGGGGTGGTGGTGGTGGTGCGGGGGTAATCAATTAAACGAGGAAGTTCGCTGAGCCTTACAACTCGATTATTAGCCTGTGCTTTTGAAGTTTTATTTCCAGAAGGCTGGGGAGGGGGTGACAAGGAATCAGGCTTTAAATCAGTGAGGCCGATGCAGCAGTGTTGAAGCGTTAGCAGCCTACGGCCTTATTGAAAGGGTTTGTCAAGATGTGGCACTGAGCGAAGACCAGATTCAGACTTTCATGGCTAATGAGCTTTCTGCTGGGGCAGTTACAGTGGCCTGTCTGAGTCAATCTGAGGGCACAGGCTGCGCACCTGCTGCTGCTGACTGCTCTCAGGAAATCTCTTGATTGGGGATAAATACATCCTTATGATTCACTATGAAATAAAAGAAAACCTTTTCCTGGACAAATGCACTCAAAGCAAGAATGTAGAGAAATCTCACTAAGATGTTCAATTATATTCAAATGTGCGTTAGATGATAAAGTTCTCTCAAAGTTCTCTTAGAATCTCTCAAATATATTGTGTGGAATCTGTTTTTATAAGACATGTACCTTTTTTGATCCAGCAAATCCCTCAGACTCCAAGAAGAAATAGGCAAATGGCATCAGGACAAAGAGGCAAAGGTTGGAGAAGAGCGACACCAGGTTCCACAGACCTACATGAACGGAACACATCACATTAGCAACACATAAAAAACAGCAATTCATAGTTCATTACTTCAACTTTTAAAGATACCATGTCGTCCATTTATGCTGGTTTCCTTCAGTCTTTCTACAGGATTTAAGGAGTCAATAAAACTGGTTTTATCAAACAGAATCAGTTTTTAAATTATGGTCTCCGCTGCCACCTAGTGGATTTCAGGCAACATAGCACCTCTGAATAAACATTTGTTCAGTACATTTTATTAAACAGGGAATGTTGGAGTCCTCCAGAGTTTCAAAGGATTTCTCATTTTACAGTTTGATTTGCTTCTAGACTCCAAAGCTCCTGATTTCTTGGTCAATCTTGTTTATAGCTTAATACTAAATATAGGGGAAATTTAAATGTGCAGCAGCTGTTTCTATAGTGACCAGAAGGTCAGGTTTAAGAAGGTAAAATAGAAAAAAAAAACTGTAAACAGAAAGTAAGATAAGAGATTACACTTCCCTGACATTTTTCTAATGAACTTATGGTAAAAAAAAAAAAAAAAAGAACTTTAAAGGAATATTCAGGCAAATATTATCCCTTACCTTTATTTATTCTCCAATCCTTAATCAGACCAATCAGAATCAAATTTCATTGTTTTGCACTCTGTAGGCTGTTGTTTGAACCATTAGCATTATAATATAATTTACACAAATCTGACCTTTTCTGTGACAAAAATATATGTTATTTCTAATACAAATAATTTTTTTTCAGTCCCATATTAATCAACTGGGTGACAAACAAAACATCTGTTTAACAATGATGAATTTTTGAGCCATTAAAATCCTACCCAAAGACAGCTACTTTATTAATAATGCAAATAAGCACTAGAATAGTTTTCTACGTTTGGTGGTGATCCGAGTTTTTAACCTTATTCTCATTATGGTGACAAAGAAAAATTCCAATGGTGACAGTTTTTTTGGTAGAACCGTATAAAGGTGCTAACATAGAGGTGGATATAGGAAGACCGCGGTCATCACTGGACAACGTTTAATATTTATCGCATCCAGAAATAAATTCAGTCTAAATTCTCTTCAATTTTTATGTGCTGCACTACAGTTTCATTGCTTCCATAGGCTAACTAGCGTAAGCTTAAAGTAAAATGTAGGCGTTAAGTTAACACAGTAATATCTGCTTGGATTTAAAACTTTTAGGGGGAAAAGATGACAAGTTTGGACATGATGTTTTCTAAACAAAAGTGATTATTTTGGTCTTTTTTTTGCTGGTTGAGTAACATCCTGGGTAGATTTAAACAAATCTTATATTTCTGAGACATGAAAATTATCTGTGCAGAGGGCACCTGGGGAATAGCTGAGGGCAGGTTTTGTAGCTAATTGTGGTCTTAATTATGTTTGGTGATCGTACTAATAGTTAATATCAGCTTTAAGCACGATTCTCACTTTTCTGTGGATAGCATATGGGTCTACATTTAACTAACAGTTAAACTCATCTCCAGTGATTTAAGGCTTGCCACCTCCATCTGCAAGCAGTTTGACACGCCTCCTTGGATTTTTTTATTTGATCTTTTCTGGTATTAACCAGACTTCTTTCAGTCTTGATTCCACAAAAGAAAACAACAATCATATGTTCACTCCAGTGGTTTCCAAAAATCTCCCAATTTAAAGCTTTTATAGGGTGCATCACATCCACATCACACGGTATCCTGCTTCTTAATCTTTTTAATAATCTGTTTTTGTACCAATTCATGATAATGTCCAACTAGACGAACAATCCGGGTCTTCCTTAATGCCTTAAATGAGTTAGTTGTGAGTCTGCTAGCCAGTGAGCAACTGTTTACTAAATAAATAAGAATACAAGGCCAAATGTGGATACTTTTACATCAAATAAAATATTGATTGCATAAACATTTGAACTGGCTGATTTTTAGCTTTCTGACTAAACATCAAAACTTCCATCTACAGAATTACATACTGGTATATTTTTTTTAACCTTGACAAGCATATTTATCTATAGAGAAAGAAAAGGTAACGATTTCTGTAAAAAAAATAAAATTTAAATAAAATTACATTTGAACTATCACTTTAAATATTATTTCATATATTAAAAAAATTAGTAATTAATGGAAATTATGAAAATACATGTATTCTTACTTAATGATAGGGTAATTAAAGCACTGATATACATGAAGACTGTATTTTTTGTTTATCTGCTACAAATATAATGTATAAAACAATCATTTAATTCTATTATCAACTCTTTTTTACCTTCATCATGTATAAAGTTCACAGAAACTACAGATTTATCAGCAACTAAAATGCAAAAACAGAGTGAAGCACTGACCATGAATGAGGGAGCCATTGAGCCACTGGATGTAGTAGTTTCTGGGGAAGGAGAGGAGGATCTCGTTGCTAATAATTGAGAACGGCAGCAGGAATACCGCACCGCCAGACACCGCCAGCGTGAAGGTGCACAAATATAATCTGTAGGTTTAACCAAGACAAAAACAAAACCGACAAAAAAACTTCAGTTACAATAACATCTATATTCCAAAAAAAAAAAAAAAAATGTTTTACAATTTTACAAATAAGATAAACATCGAATGATTGGTAGAATTTTGGATTGGCAAAATTTTTGCTTTGTATACACACTGTGTATAGAAAATGACAATAAAAGTTGTCCAAGTATGACAGAATATAGACTTTAAATGGAAAACGGAGATATAGCTGGTATAGCAGCTAACTAACTACCAGCTTACTGCCTAGAACAGAGCCAAATTCATTGCATGATCAGCCTGCTGTTTACTAAGATTCAATAAAACGTGCTAACAGGTGTGGTACAAACCCCTCTATATATTGGAATAAAATGAATTTGTTTCCAGGGGTCCTGCTACCCAAAGCATTATTCTCAACAATTACCAGGATCTTTCTTTTAGCATTTGTAATAATATTGCTACAACTATACTTTCCGCCATTTGCCGCCATCTTTCTCAGAGCTAAAGGAGAAGCATTGATACAAAGAGTCTTGAATACATGAAATATTGCTCATTGATCTTTAGTTATCTCATTCTTACATAAACAAATATTATATCAAAATAAAATACAGACTATTATTTCCATACTAGTAAATTCCACAAGCTTTGTTTCCATTTCTGACAAGTATTGGGTCAGCAGAATAAGAAGTATTTGCTTCTCAAAGAGGAGAGGGATAAAAAAAAAAATCAGCAACACTCACGATATCCTGTTAACGACCGCATCTTCATCCTCATGATCATCTGGAAAGTAAATCAAAACACTTTATAGACCAGAATGTCAACAGTATTACACTTCATTCACTTTTATTTTTTTTTTATTAAGAAAGGGATTTAGTTGGAAAGTTTTTTAGCAAACACAATTCTAGCCAGGTTAAGAATAAAGTTGAGATGCTCCATGGCTGGTTTTCCACCTAAAATGTTAATGTGTAATGATGTAGAGTTGAATGTGCTTTAAAGGGGTCATAGAATGACTATATGCAGTCATGGCCAAAAGTTTTGAGAAAGATTCAAATGTTAATATTTACAAAGTCTACTGCTTCAGTTTTTATAATGGCAATTTGCATATACCCCAGAATGTTATAAAGAGTGATTGGCATAACAGCAATTAAATGCAAAGTCAATATTTGCCTAGAAAATGAACTTTATCCCCCAAAAACATTTCAACGTCATCCAATAACACAGGTGTGGGTGGTGATGAGGATAGGGCTGGAGATCAACCTGTCATGATTAAGCAAGAATGACACCACTGGACACTTTAAAAAGAGGCTGGTGCTTGGCATCATCGTTTCTCTTCTGTGAACCATGGTTATCTCTAAAGAAACACGTGCAGTCATCACTGCACTGCACAAAAATGGCTTAACAGGAAAGAGAATCGCAGCTTAGTCAACAATCTATCGCATCATCAAGAACTTCAAGGAGAGAGGTTCCATTGTTGCCAAAAAGGCTCCAGGGCGCCTAAGAAAGACCAGTAAGCGCCAGGACCGTCTTTTAAAAGTGTTTCAGCTGCGGGATCGAGCTACCAGCAGCGCAGAGCTTGCTCAGGAATGGCAGCAGGCAGGTGTGAGTGCATCTGCACGTACTGTGAGGTGGAGGCTCTTGGAGCAAAGCCTGGTCTGAAGAAGGGCAGCAAAGAAGCCACTTCTCTCCAGGAAAAACATCAGGGACAGACTGATATTCAGCTAAAGGTACAGGGAGTGGACAGCTGAGGACTGGGGTAAAGTCATTTTCTCTGATGAATCCCCTTTCCGATTGTTTGGGACATCTGGAAAACAGCTTGTTCGGATAAGACGAGGTGAGCACTACCACCAGTCTTGTCTCATGCCAACTGTAAAGCATCATGAAACCATTCATGTGTGGGGTTGCTTCTCAGCCAAGGGAGTCACCTCTCTCACAGTCTTACTTAAAAAATCAGCCATGAATAAAGACTGGTACCAGAATGTCCTCCAAGAGCAACTTCGTCTAACTGTCCAAGACCAGTTTGGTGATGAACAATGCCTTTTCCAGCATGATGGAGCACCTTGCGATAAAGCAAAGGTGATATCTAACTGGCTCAGGGAACAAAACATAGAGATTTTGGGTTCCATGGCCTGGAAACTTCCCTGATCTTAATCTCATTGAAAACTTGTGGTCAATCATCAAGAGATGGGTGGACAAACGAAAACCTAGGAATTCTGACAAAATGCAAGCATTGATGCAAGAATGGACTGCTATCAGTCAGGATTTGGTCCAGAAGTTGATTGAGAGCATGCCAGGGAGAATTGCAGAGGTCCTGAAGGAGAGGAGTCAACACTGCAAATATTGACTTGCTGCATGAACTTCTGTCATTAAAAGCTTTTGTTACTCATAATATGATTGCAATTGTATTTCTGTTTGTGATGGCAACATCTGACATACACACATGAAAACCAGAGGGCACCAGATCATGTGAAAATATAATATTTGTGTCATTCTCAATACTTTTGGCTATGACTGTAGGGTATCTGGTGCTGGTCCTTAAGGTCTCTGAATAGGGTGCGTAACATTGGTTGGGCTTAAAATGGCATATTTGTTGTTCTAAGAGCCCTAATGGTGAAGCAAGCAATGCAAGCTTGATTATAAGAAAAAAAAAAAAGGTTTTCTTCCTTTTATGGTATGCTCATGAATATTTAGATGAGCTGTGCGCTAATTGGTTGGTTTACAACGAGCGAAGCTGCTGAGACACATAACAAAAACACTCACTCACTGAAACATCAAGTTGTTGATATGGTAGGGTGACCAGACATCCCCTTTTTCCTGGACATGTCCTACTTATCATACCTAAAAAAACAGTGGGCTGGTCTGTATTTCATTTTTGGATTACTAAATTAGTTGACGATTATTTCCATAATTTATGATTAATCTGATTAAATGTTTCAGCTCTAGCCAAAACAGATTTTTGATTGCCAAAATTATTTCATCTATTTTGACAAAAGCTCTGTTTTATCTGAAGAAAAGTAACACCAGAGGATGATGGTTCCACCACCATGTTCTAATGATGGTCAAATGTTTACGTTTTCTTTCATTAGCCAGGCCATAATGCAACATATCAAAGAACAGACGGTTGCGTTGTAATTCCACTCCCTAGTAGATATATTCAGAGAATACATGAAAGGTGTATAAAAAACTCAAAAAAACACAATAACTAGGAAATGTCTAAAGGTTGCTAGTCTCTATCAGTTTCATTATTTTTCCATTTAAGAATAAATGTGAAATTCTCAGTAATGTCACTGCTTCCTCATATTTTCTCTTTACAGTGACAACATATGCTGTTATCAGTGTGCCATGGTAGCAACAAACGCTTTTTGAAAGCAAAACCTTCCAGCAAACATTGGCTTAATCAAAAGGCTCCAAATGAGAGTAAAAACTGAAGAGGACCCTGCATCAGATCAGATTCAGCTCATTATTACTGGAGGCATATGTGAACTCAGGAGGTCTGAATGCTGACATCTAATAGCATGGAGCTTTGAACCGTCATTTGTTATGTTTACCCTCAAATAGATGTGTTTGTTTTTCATCTAGAAAAGAGTAGACATGCTTCAAAATAAAGGTGGAAAAAGCTTGAACATGATTTCTTCTGATCTTGTTTTATTTTAAATCACAGACACCTGACATTCAATTCGCAATTTAGCATAAAATAGTAAGGAAAAGAGCACTTAATGCAACATCATGTTTAGGAATGACTAAAAAAACAGGAAGATAAGGTGACCTGCTGTTTACATAGAAGAGAGAAAGACTAGCTGACCCAGACACTTTGTCCTCAAATAAAGAGATTAGCTTCATTATTTGTTAGAGTATAATGTTAAAGATCTCACAAAAAGACTGACTTTACCTCACTAGCCACTGATCCCTACAGAAAATGGATTGTCAGAATTAAGAAGATTTTTTTTTACTCTTTACATTACAGGCATCCAAAGCCCTAAACAACTAAGGGTGGATACAGCTTATGCTGACAGAGCTACAGGTGACAGACGGCACAGAAGAAAAGGGTGTTGTCTGTTCGACATTCTCCAGGAGATTTTATTTTAATGACTTTGTTTTAATCTGAACACAAAGAGAGGTTGTGTCTGTGAGCAAACAAGGCCTTTCCCAACTCTGAATCATCCTCAGAGTTCCTGCAGGTGATGTAAAAGGAAATTGTTTTTTTTCCTGAGCTATTGAACATGCTTGAAAGAGACTCACCGCTTTTCCTTTTATATCTGGTTATGATGCAGTAGGACACAATGTAGAGGACGGCAAACAGGAGGAAGCAAATCTGAAAACAGCAAGGGAAGAATTTTTAGAATGCAGAAGAGGTTTAAATCCAGAGATGTTTTTGCTACAACTTTGATTTACGACTTTGACCCCAACGTTTTTGGGGATTTTCTGGGAGAGCGGTCTCTAAAGAATGGGTGCAACATTCAGACATCAACTTCGTGAATAGTGCTGCTTCTCTGTGCTTTAGACATGATTAGGATGTATTTTTTGCATGCTCTTCTTTCTAAACAGCGTTTTAGGTGGAAATGTGGGGTTTTTTTTACTAAAAAAAATGACTAATTGTACACCCTGTTATTCTGGTGCTTGCAGTTTGTACCACATACCTGAAAACCCTAACATTTACTTCTAGCTGCCACGAAGAGTAGGAGAAATTCCCTAAGAGGTGACGAGCGGTCTGAGGCAGCTGCTGCTGGATTCCCAGTGACGGCGTCGGTATGTGGGGTCTGAGCGGCTCCGACAGCGATATAATATTTTATGGCAGGACCTTAATCTTGATAAACTGACTGCACAGATATGTTTTGAGGTGAACTTTCTCACATAAAAATATATCAAAACTACTTTTTACCCCTTATCACAGCAAATATAGCAAGGCCGCTCTCTGCCACTGACAGACGCATCTGTATACACTTTACTGGACACATCAAAGATGCTCTTGAGGCGAGTCTTACCATAATGTATACAAGCATCAAAAATGAAGCAGCAGGTGCTTTTTGCTGCTCAAATTACACTTTTTGGTTGTTTGAATTAAGCAATTAAATATAATATTGTCATTGTTATGAAACTTCCAACTCTAGCCAATTACAAACACTTCCCATAATCAGGACAAAAGTAGTGTTGGAACAAAGATAAAAATGTTATCTAAATTCCACCTAAAAATGCAGGAAATAGCATTTCAGAGAGTCTAAATTTCAAAAATAACCCCGGACCCCCCTATTCCATGCAAAGCCTAAAGATGTGATACACCAAGCTGTACACACTATGAAATATTACTACGGTAGCTAAAATTCAGTTTCCAAATATCCATCCTTGTGTTCTCTACAATGGTTTATTCCTGCAGGGTCTCAGGGGGTCTGAACCCTCTGAGACCCTCAGGTCCTGAAAGGAAACCAGAGCACCCAGAGAGAACTCATGCATGCAAAAGGAGAAAATGCAAACTAGCTAAGATATAAACCGCCGACTTTCTTGCTGCAAAAGTACCCATCATGTGACATCATGTGAAATAAAACGTACAAGAATGTTATGAAACCTTTTACTATTTGGGTGTCAAAATGCAATATAGCATACAACAACTGATTACTCTTAGATTTGATGAGGTGTAATATTTTAATGGCATCACAGACACATTTTGAAACTTTACTTTAAAATACCGGTTGGACAGAATTAAAGGTTTTTACCTCAAAGAGTTTCGAAGGACTCAGGTAGTTTCAGCTGATTGATTAGCAATAAAAACGCGACACTATTAAAATAATCAATATGATCCACTGATAGAGCATTTGTGATCATTTAATACTATGTTGTATTTTTTTCTAGTCCAATGGTAAAAAGAAATAACATCAGGGTGAAAACTGTCTGGCTAGTTTAGATCATATACCACATTCCTAATTCCAACTGGAAAACTAATCAGGATGCAGCTAAAATTAGAAACTCACTTCGGTACGTCGCACACTGTCAACACTGCATAAATCATTCTGAATATAGAGATTACTCAGCTAAAATATGCATTTCGGACATATGTTATATGAAAGCGCCCCCCACATGCTGCGCACAAGCCATTGAAAAAAGACTAATGCATTTAAGGCTACTTACTATTTGCAAGTTATCTGTGGGGCAAACCCAAAATAACCCAGAATCAGGTGCTGAGTGCTGATAAACAGGCTCACAACAGAAACAGAAAGACAGCAGCTAGCCAACATTCTAATCTTCTTCACACCCAGTTTCCCCCTTAGACAATTACAAACAAAGTTGAAGAAAAGAAAATGAGATTTTTTTCGTTCCAAGAAACCTTTAAATTCCTGATACTAACATTATTTCCCGTCTAAAAGCTGGTTAAAGCTGCAAGATTTCTAAATCGTTGGGTGATTTTCCCCATGTGTAACGATCACAAATCGGGGATAGCAGAGTTTGTGTTATACAGCGTTTTCTCTACTGCCACACCAAAAGCGTAGCACATTACACATCAACCAACTCTGATGACCTAGACGCGCATCAAGCAAAGACTCAACAGACGGCCTGTGTTTACAGCAGTAGGTGAGACATAGGTTTGCTTTATTTGCTGCATAAGTGGGAAAAAGTAGTTATAAGGCGTCAAAATGTAATTTCACAGGACTATGATCCTACGGTTAATTGGCATTTTCTCTCGGGAGCGGATACAGGGCTGTGCATGAAAATCCTCCACTATAGCTTTACGCCGGCCAAGCACTAAGGATTTCCTGCTGCTGTTCCTACAAGTTGGAAATCACTATAGTGTTTTTTTTTGGTTGCAAAAATATACATGTGGTAGAAAATGAAGGTACCACTATAGAAGATTTTTTTTTTTTTCTGGCTGGCAGGTTTTTAACAGTTTTAGTTAATATTTTTCCACACTTGAGTGAGAAAATGTTTTAATGGAGTAATAATGATCAGAGCTCACTCTCTTTTATTCGGATTTAAAAGGATAAATTTTCCTTGCTTTTTAAATTTTGTTGAGTTTCACCCCTTTAAATGTATTCATTTTTCCTATTCTGACAGCTCTGCAGAAGTGATAGCGCCTTGCAGTTAGCGTCTGTCTCTACGAAAACTGCTTGATTACCTTTACTGATTAATAAAGGAGTTGTGTCAAGCTGCAAAAAGTTCAGAGCGTTGAACACTCTGACCCACCACTCCTGTTGCTCGGATGCACCGCAGCATCTCTGATGCTGTCCACCATAGACTTTTAATGTAAATCAGATCCTCGGACACCAAGAAAGCATTGCGTCTGACAAACCACTATAAACTGTTTTTTCGCCACAATCCGGTAACAAAATATTTCAGTGGAGCGAATAGAGCAGTCATATTCTTCACTGTACACAAAAGATAAAAAAAAACAATGCTCATATAAATATATATATATATATATATATATATATATATATATATATATATATATATATATATATATACATTTTGAGAGATAATGGCTCTCATAATTGGGAAGATCGGGAAGAAATTGGCACAATTATCTTGTGCTAATTATCTTGCCAGATGAACCAGCCTACTACTATACAAAAAGCTAAACTGGAAAGGAAGTATAGCACTGTTTCTGCCTTTAAAAGATCTAAGTAAGATTCTACATAACACTCAAACAACCTCAGCGTTGATACTGCTTCTCTGCTTCAGTTAAACACTCCACAGTCCTGTGCTGCATAATCACCACATGACCAACCCCATCTCCTTCCCCTCTACTCCTTTTCACAAAGCACAAACAACAACCAGATGGAATTGGATGGATCTGTTAACAAGAGTGGCCCAATTTTACTTATTTGAGCAATTCAGAACAGCATAGAACACAGTATGTTAACACCAGTATATTCAAGATCAATACACATGGTAAGGAAAAAAAACAGCACAGACCTCTATATAGATAAACTAGCCTAGTAAACTAGCCCCACCCACCAGCGGCCAAATCCTTTTTTGCCTGCGAGTGGTCTAGCCTCGATCAATGCCCCAGGCCCTAGAACAGGCAGGCCAAACACAGCGTAGAGATGTGTTTTAAATTTTTGGATGCAATGTGGGCGGGGTTTTGACGTGAGGTCAAAGCTGAGAAAGCACAACAAGGTAGATTGCAACAACTATTGAACAGTTTTCGTTTGACTCAGCTTTGGAATCAGTTTTGGAAGGATTAGACTTGGGGTTTTCATTGAAACGTGAGCAGGGGGAGGCTCATTCATTTTTAAGAAGGACATATTCACCATTTTACCGATAGGCTGTTTGTTTACACTCCCCCACCAGCTTTCTGTCGCACTTACTAAGTCACAGTCAGTTGCTGTTCTCATCAACAATCTTCTGATGTCTCAATCATCGGGCCAGACTAAATTACACATTTAATCCCACATTTAGTCTGGTTTATCAGGCTGTTGGTAAACAGCTAAATTATGAAAATATAATAAATACAGTTTTTGGATTGAAGTAGAGGTGGTTTACAAAAGCAGACTGCTTTGTTAATTTGTTCTATAAAGGATGCCTGACCATGACATTCTGGTTATATTTCTGCTGCATAAAAGCCAGACTTTGTGTGTTTTTTGTGTGCCCGTTTTAAGATTGAATTAATCTATCATACAGCAAGAATTCACCAGCTACACATCAATTAGAGGCATACCCTCTTGTCAAAGAGTGGAGTCAACCTATTTTTAAACCTAACCAAGAGTAGCCTGGACTGCAAAGTTAGCACAGGCCCCTTTAAATATGCTTGAGTAAATCCATCCATAAGCTGACTCACAGAAACACTGCTGATAAACGATACTCTTACTTCACAACGTGGTGTTAAGCATGTTGATATGGGATATTAAGGAGCACAAGCGCTTAGAAGAACACGTACGAGCCTACAGTAAAAAATTAATAAAAAATACGAGCCTACTTGCTGCTGAGACATTTGATCGTTTATCAAATATTTGTCACGAATATATATCTGAACTAACCCAGACAGAGTATTACCCAGAGTTCCCTAAATTTTTCTCACTGACAATGTAGCAACATAAACCTCCCCAAAAAAAACAACTTGAAACACATTAAAAGGAAAAACATGTTTTTAAAATACTCAAAATCGCACACTGGTGACACTAGATTAACCAAAATTTTTAACATCTTTAATTATCTATTTCCTATGTTATTACTACTTTCTCTGAGGTATAGGATGTGGGTTGGTTAGATCGAAATCAGCTGCACGCATCAAGGGCAATACACCACTCTTTTAAATGACATACAAAGAATAGAATAGAAAATCCCTTTATTGTCCCACAATGGGGACATCCAGGTGCTCACAGCATAGAAATAAGAATAGCATAACAGTGAAGAGTTTTAAAAAATTATTGAGAGAAAATTAACGGATACTATAATGATAAAGGAAGTATTGCATCTAAGCAATCCTATGCAGGTATTATATTGTAGAAAATTAAAAATATTGCAGCTCTACAAGAGGCTTTATATGGGAAAAAATAACAATTAGCATTATCATCCATCCCTGTGAAGTTCAATAAAATAAAAAAAAAATACAAATTATTTTAACCCTACCAGTCCATACCTAAAGAAATGTGTAAAATATACACATCAGAGTATTTCTTCATTGTTTTTTAAAAATGGACAATTATTGAACCTAGACATAATCTATGCATGCTTGAGACAGTTTATGTAAATAATGCAAAATTCGAATAAATTACTATATATTGATAAACCATAAAACTGTCCAAAATAATGAGTGACAAAAAGAATTACGTTCTTTATTAATTAATGCAATAACTACCTTGGGTTTATTAATGTCTAGTTTGGTGTTAGCTGTGCTGATAATGTTTTTTCTAATTCACCTGCTGATTTTAGTTTTATTTTTTTAAAAGATTTATGACGAATTGTGTTTTATTTTCATTATTTTGGGCAAAAAATAGAACTAGCTAAATCCTAAATAAGTATAGTATAAAACGAAAAATGTGTTTAAAAAAAAAAAGTTAAAAGATAGGAAATAAAATACCAACAGATTGCTTAGAGGCAACTTGTTATGAAGAGCTAGTTAGCTAGCAACGCCAACGTCAGATTATTTTGCTTTCAAAATACGGTTTCATTTTTTTTTTCTATCCAGCAAGTGGACATTTTCAAAATGTAAAAAGTTTCACGTTTTGAAAATTCTCTAAAATCGGCCCGCTTGATTATAAAGCCGATGCTAACCCTCACTGATATGCTGTAAGGGGACGTTAGCCAGCTAGCTCCGTTACTTACGATGTACTCTCGCACTTGGCTGTGGAAATTCTGCTCTCTGATAGAAACATCGTCTTCTTCCATTCTTCATATTGCAAATAAAAAGATGCTACGGGTTCGCTACATTCTAGCTTGCATAAGTAGAAATTCAGTCACACAAGTCTCTTACTCTCCACTAGGCGCAAACCATGTAGACCGCTTAAGCTCAGTGAAAAGTGGAAAAAAAACGCCCCAAAATAAAACGCGTCATATCAAAGCGTCGAGGTTTTACAGGAAGGATGTTCAAACGTAAGCGTCGCCGCCATATTAGGGAGGGAAGGATTTTCTTTTCTTCTTCTGTTTCTTCTTCTACTTCTTCTTCTTCTTAGAGGATTTTTCTTTTTTTTTATTAGGTCAAAAACGTTTACATGAAAAAATACTCTCAGAGAGGATAGCAAAGGTGTACATGAACAGATAAAGATCAATTACAATAAAAGAAAAACAAAAAAGTAAGTCATTAATACACCAGTGAAAGGAAGGTTTAGAATTTCTCCATTCAGCACAGTGGATATGATATTTACCAAACAGCAGGAGGACATTGATAGTATAAGAAAAAGTCTGGGGAAGATGGTCCATATAAAAAATGACATCATTTAGTGCAAATGGGGGGGACATCATTAATTTTTAAAGAAATCCAGTCTTTCAACTCTTTCCAGAAGCTGTGTGTAGTAGGACAGAGGTAAACCATATGTTCAAAGGTTTCTCTATTTCTTGAAGGATTTTATTCAGTTGTGGGGTTTTAAAAACATTTTATGTACTGTGTCAGATGATGGAGAACTGCATTTTAACAAGCTCCTAATTTAATGATTTTAACTGACACTTGTTTTCACAGTACGAGTATGAGTACTTGTTTTCACTTTAACAGTGATTTTTAACTGACACTTGTTTTACGTCAATTGTTGATATGTTTGAATTGTGTAAATAAAGTGTTGTTAAAAGTCAACAAGTCTTTTTTTCTTCTTCTTCTTCTTCTTCTTCTTCTTCTTCTTCTTCTTTGATTTATTGGATGTTGGCAACAAACCGGCCACTTTATTAGGTACACCCGTCCAACTGCTCGTTAACACTTAATTTTTAAGCAGCCAATCACATGGCAGCAACTCAGT